GTTGATGAAGCCTAACAAAAAAAAACGGAGCTGCCAAGGTGTCGGATGATATCGTAAAGATGTTTCGTTCTGGACCCAAGGGGAAAAAGAAGGTAGAGGCCATGTTTGCAGCTGCTGGTTATGACCGGGACCGGGGCGTCAAAACTGGTCCATTTGTCCAATGTGTTTTTCAATATATTAGGTTCTGCTGTTCTCAACGAAAGTCTTTCGTTTGTTCATGGCAGGAGACCTTCATAGTAGAGTGCGAAGCACTCTTGGAAGAATTTGAGGAAACCAATTTGATAGTCGAAGGCGAGTACATATCAAAAAAGGACATGATGGAGAGCTGGGGATGGAGTGAGACACCCGGCTTAAACACAGTACCCTGTGCATAAGCATTGGTCTGATGTTTTCTCCCTCCAGTACTTCTATGGGTAAGTGGCTCATGTTCCACCAGCCCTGCCTGATCGCTGAGGCAGCGGGCCAACGCGGTCATCAACCTGTGCAAGGAGAATCCAAAGAAGTTTTGCAGGCAGTGCGTTTCTTTCTCGAGCGACTCTGTCTTTCTTTGAGCTTAGCTTATGCTGAGCGCTGGTAGGCGGGACCCCTATGAAAAGATCACCCTTTTTTGGGCTGAGCGGCGAGTCAGGGGCGAAATGAAGACGCTCTGATTGTAAGTTCGATGTTTGTCAGGTTTTTTGCTATGTAACGTAAAGGTGGCAAGGCTTTGATAGGTCCTTGGCCCACACCTCACTAAGGAAAGGTTCCAGGTCTTCACTCCGTCGTTCACCATTGGGAAGAAAAAGGCTTGGATGGCTTGAAGGACCTCTCTGTTGAGCAGCCATGGGGGTTGCATCTCTCTTTGGCTGCCAACCCAGGAACCAACCAAAGAACCTTCAAATTCAAATGATATGTGGCAGCTGGTTCGTGTTTTCTTTCAATCATTTTTCCTTCACTAGGCTCAAAGCTTGAGGCGAAGGAATCCCAAGGCCCAAGGACCGAGCAGAAGGAATCTAAGAAGAAGGAATCTCCACCGTCAGATGGGGAAGAATCTGGTTCAGATAGTAGTGACATTGAAATTCTTGACCCGGATCAAGAAAATGCTGCTGGCTCCCACCTCGCAAAGTTGCGGAAGCAAGCCGGTCTTCCGGAAATGCCGGAAGATTCATTGCCATCTGGGTTGGCAAACAAGATCATGTGTTCTGCCTTAACTAGCGCATGGTTTTGCATTTTCCCACCAATGCATCCCACATCATCCCACCAAAACGCCACCCCCCGACCGAGGGCATGCCTAACCAAGCGATCTACAAAACTATCTGACCTGCTGAAAAAGTTCGAGGATGTTGAGGACAAAAAGGCACTTGATGTCCCGCAGACGAGGTCCGTAAACCAACAAATGGTTAGTTTGCTTTCCAATCATGTGTTGACTGGCCCATTTTCCAGCCTCATCCTATGCGCAGCGAAGCCCAGGCTGAAGGCGAAGGTCGATGATGCGATCAAGAGCCTCAACAAGATACATGAGCAAATCCTCTCTCAGTATACCGATGGTCTTGTAGACGGTTTCACCAAGAAGCGCCATAGTTTAATTAGATGTTTTTTCATTCTATAGAATGTTTCAACAAGAAGTGCCATAGAATGCCATAGATTAATTGGATTTTGTCCCTGTAGAAGATTTCAACAAGAAGCGCCATAGATGAATTGTTTGATTTTGTCCATGGCTCACCAACGGCCAAGCATTCCAAGTCATTCAGGTGTGAAGAGTCTTTGAAATCCCAGTTCATGGACGCTCAACGCCAGCTGACAGCTTAGCTCACTAAATCTCTGTACACTGTCCACGCTTGGAGCTTTTCTGACAACCCTATGTTTGTTTGCTTTTTGGGGGTGGCCAAGGGCCATTGAGTACGTGAGCTTGGAAAGTCGTGCCAGGCGGGGTGTTCAGCAAACCCCCTTATCACCTCTTCTAGTGTTTTGGGATCCCTTGCCAATTCACAACCTGCCTGCAGACAAGTGTTGCCGAAGGGCAGCGGCAGCGCCAAGAAGAAGCAAAAGCGTGAATCTAGGCGGGAGCAGAGAGGCAAGGCAAAAGGAGCCCCCAAGAGAGGTGCCAAAGCCAAAGCCAAGCAAGAGCCTCCACCTTCGCCAAAACGTGCGAGGAAGTGATCTATCCTTTAGATCTGTGTGTTTTGGGCTGTGTGCTTTCACACAGCTGCTTTTGACTGTCTAGAAATTAAGTTGCCGAATGGCATTGGGGAATGACTTCCGGTGTCAAAGTGACAAGTGAAGCGAGGGTCTAACAAAAAGGTTAAACACATAGGATGCAAGAGTTGATCGGACCAAGACGTTGATCTGTTAATCTTTTTGAATTTGGAGGTGTTGTGTGGCAAACTTTCTGCAGAAGAATGCACAGGACACATAGCATGCCAACCCTGCTCTGGCCAGGTGCCCGCTACCACCATGGACCCCTGGTGGAAACATTTGCTGAAGCTATATCTGATGCGGTCTGGAACTTGGGTTAGCCTAGGGGGAACTCCTTGTCGTCGCGTTCATGTCCTGAGGTTCCTGCTGCCTTGGTGGACACCATGGCCGCAAGCGCGGCCCATGAGGCGGCAGGTTTGACGTACAAGTGCCCAGGAACAGACAAAAACAGAACAACTACAAAGAATTCTTCCCGTACTGTCCGGAGAATGCTGAAGCGCTTAGGGATGAAATGGAACATTCCAATCACGACAGCTCAGTTCCCAGTCAATGGCGCTGATGACTTGGAAGTTCTTCGGGGGAATGCAAGATGTTCAGAAACAGGGCAACCTTTTGAAATCATGGTGGTCTGCATTTCGTGACTACCAACCTGCACATGCTGTATTCCACACTCATGGCGATGCTCTGGCTTCAACCATACCTTGTTCTCTCTACGGAGACGAGGGTAAAGGCAGACGAAGAGGAAACACAGCTGTGTGTTCCATAGAAGTTCCATTCGGTCTGCATTCTGCCCTTTTGGAAGGAAAGGATGAGCATGCGCTAGACTGCAGCAGCTGTTCTCCTGGGATACACCGTGAAGTGAGAAATATTGATGGCTATGCTGCTGCAAGCATGAAGGAGCACAGCTTCTTGACCCGTTTTTTGCTGTGGATTCAGCCTTGCGTCAACTACAAGGCCCATGACGGTCTCATCAAGTGGCTCCTGGCGCGCATTGGTGCGTCTTTGCGACAGCTGTTCTTTGAGGGCTTGACTGTTCGTGGTCGGTGCTACACATTTGCTCTTGTTGCCATGAAGGGCGACCAAAAATGGCATATTTCCATTGCGTCCCTCACAAGGCATTTTGGGACTCGAGGCCGGAAGCGAAGTTTACAGATGTGCTACGAGTGTGAGGCCGGTCGTCGAGATGCTCCGTATGAGGACATCAACAGAACGGCTGCCTGGACAAACGCTCTACAGATCCCGTCCTTGCGACCAGCCTCCTCCACTGTTGGTGGTGCCTTTTGAGCCTGAAGATGGGCGCCAGGAATTCCTGTATAAACGGGACATTTTCCACATCGTGAAGCTGGGGCTGCTCAGACATTGGGTCGCTTCGACATTGGTGAGTCTCATCCAATGGGGCTGTGCCTTTACAGTTGAAGGCGAGCCAAATGCAGTGGGATACCAGCTTGAACGTGCGCATGCTTTTTTAAGATGTGGTGCCTGGCGTTCAAGAAGTCTGCAGCGTTGCGGAGCTTTTCCCGGAACCTTTTCAACTGGCCAAATGCGAAAACGGCCCCATGGGCCAATGTCAAAGCCTCAGATTGTGTCTTGTTGGCCGGCTGGCTCTGCTCTGTGCTTCCGGCTTATGCTTCACAGGAGACTGGAGAAAAGCAAGAGCTCCTGACGTTGATGTGTCAGACTGGCCAGCATGCGCTGGATTTCTACGGTAGGTTGGTGAAGCATCACCTACTGATGCCTCGTTCTTGTGTGGCCGCCTCTCTTCACTCTGGACTATCTTTTCTGAAAGGGTACACCCGCCTGGCGTATTGTAACATGCGGCAGCCTTTTGCTGCGTGGGCCATGGTGCCCAAAGTTCACTCATTCAGGCACTGCCTGCATGAGTATGAGCTCTTTCTTGCCGACCCTACCAAAGAGTTTTTTATCAATCCACTTTGCTGGGCTTGTGAAACAGGGGAGGACCTGATTGGCCGAGTGTGCAGATTGGCTACAACATTAGATTCCCGATACGTTACGCTTCGATGCTTGGAATTCTATTTGGTGAAGTGCAGGATTTTGTGGAACCGTGCATCGTGCAGGATCCTGCGATGAGCGGACCAAAGCTTTCTGAAAAAATATTGAGCCAGTGCTGCTGCCACACTTGCCGGCAACTCTTCAACTCACCCACTGTCATCCTTGGAAAGCACAAGGAATCAGACTTCAACCTTATCTGGGTTTTGGCTTTCCCCTAGGCCCAAGCAATTCTGCATCCAAGAGCCAGAGACCTTCCAATCTCTGCTATAGTCAGGGTGTGTAATCTGAAACGCTTGTTTTCAAGTGAAGCGACAGTTTTCTCTGGAAACCGCAAACATTTGTGCAGTTTGATGAAACGATAGAAATTTGTTTCTAGCGGAGGTCTTAGGTATTATATTTATATAATTTTTGTTGTAGTAAGTAATTATTCTTCCAGCAACTGTTTTTCGGCAAAGCGAAGCCCAATAAAGAAGGGAAAAGGACCAAATGAGAAGGAACGAAAGATAGAAGAACATGTCTAACAGTGCCCGCAGGGGTGATTATGAATAATAGCCCACTATATAGAGGTGATTTGGGGTCTCCATTCACCCTGGTGAGTCCTGCGACAATGGAGCACTCTTGCAAAACAACGTCATTCCCACGGAAGAGAAGCTTCCCATTTCAGAGCACCCCTTCACGGTTGTCCTCACTGACAGCACATCTCGCCCCACCAACAACCTCTTTCACCAGAGTTCCGGAGGACCCCCCCCCCACCGCGCGTGGAGAACCCCCCGCTGCGCGGTGGGAGCCCAGGGCGGCGGCTTTCCTCGGCTGAGGTACTCCAATCAAATCTCGGGGCAGGTGCCACCTTTGAATCTTCGTCCCACTTGCATGGATGATTTGTCCTTCATGGCCTCTCGGCGCGGTCCAAAGCCCAAAGCAACGCCTCGGCACAGTGGTCTTGGGAGGTATTGCAATCCACTCTTTCGAAGCAATTATGGTGGTCTTGTGCAAGTCAGGGTGTCCCCTACCATTGGATGTTCATCGTGTCCCCCTTGCCATATCAATCGTATCAGGTCTTAATTTCCTCGAATACATGTTTGCAGCCCGAGAGTGGTACCCACTTCCTTTCACCGACCTAGGAGTTATTGGATCATGCAGGAGCTGGGTGAGACCTAGGGTGTAATCATCTCATTAAGCCAGTAACAGTCGGCAGAAGCAAAAAGACATGAGATATTCTTTGGGAAAGATCTTGGAGGTTTCTTAACTGGTGCAGATCATCAAGCAACACTACAAAGAAAGAACATGTTGGTGGCTTTAAGCAACGACCAGGGACGACATGTTCGACTTCACGCGTCACACTTGAAAACAGAATTGATTCCCAATGGATTATGCCGGCATATAACCACTGGATTGTTGCCGGCCAAAGTGTGTTCTGAGGTCCCAGCATATCGCGTTGATACACAAGAGCCTCAGAGGAAGTTGAGCTACAGTTCCAAGTATGTTTGGATGGCCACAGATGATTGGGCAACGCAACCACGCAGGACATAGGATGGACATTGACATCTCACAACTCAACCCAAAGCTGCTGGTGTTGCGAGCACAAGAAGTTTGATTGACAAGTACTCTATGCTGGTAATAAGTGCACTTGGAAGTTGCTTTGCAGGTACGCGTCGAGCCAAGACGCTATATGCATGGATGGAAAACTCGATCTCTCTTGAACCGAGACACGATTCTGTCAAGGAAGAAGTGGAGCTCACTTGCAACTCTCATCACCACACATTGAAACTTGGCCAGCAGCAGGCTGGTTCGAAGACATGTGGTTCCTGCGTGCAAGCAGGCAAGCAGGCAAGCAAGTCAGCCTGTCATGGTTAATGTCTCGCAACTCACAGGAATGAAACTTTGGGAAGGTTACGTTAGGCGTAGGTCTGTCAACTTTGTGACGGGTTGCTTTTGCTTTGAGAATCAAGCCAGCTGAGCACCAGGGTGAGGTATGCGCAATATCCGTTTGATTGAAGCTGGTAGACCTTGGCTTGGATGGGTTTTCTTCAGAGAAAAGGAGGGTTTGGTCGATTGCCACTAAAGAATCAATTTTCACGTGGAGCATGCTCAATAACTGGCGTTGCCTTGAATTATAAGATTCAGACTAAATAATATTGCTATCTTCATGTACATAATATATCATAAAATAACATATATTACATCCCCTGTGACACTGGGTTGTGACATTATATGATATATACTTACATACTTTTGTTTACTCGGTCGCGAGTCTTCTGGGGCTGGACGGATTCCGGTCCTTCAGGTACAGAGAGGAAATTCAATGGACGAGCTTTTTGGAAGAGCAATTGGCAGAGGCGCGGACTGACTGAACCGGTGGAACCGCGTCATCTCGTCCTGGGTGGATCAGAGGTTGTCCTTTCGACACATGGGATATCGAACCAGCCCAACCTGAGGTCGGTATGGCACATCATCCATGTTCCCTCAACTTGAACAGTGAACAGATAGAGGTTCTGAACCAAGTTTGATGTTTCTTTTTCAACCCATCGTTTCGCGTTGAACGCAGTGGTCATTGAGATGACAGATTTGATTCATCTCTGCCCAGATCGCCAGGCATGCCCCAAGTCTCATGGAACTTGCCAATCTGCAAGCTCTCGAGGCTTCGAAAAGCCGGGGAGCTGTTTTTTTTCGAGCAGGGTCCTTCTGCTAGCGTGAAGCAGAATGACTTATAAATCAATTAAGCAAGCCTGGTGGATCGGATGCGGTTGGGGTCCCTGAAAATAGCACTTCTTCAACCCTCACCCTTTTCATTTGCGGGCCCAGATTCTTAGGGTGGCCCTAGTTTTTGATATTCCCAGGCAGTCAGAGAAACGCATCCTGGCCAAGTGAAGTCTCACTGCAGGCATCTCCAGCAGGTCAAGAACCAACAGTTGCCGTAGATCGGAAGCTTAGGAAACGTCATTTGCCAGCATTTGAGGCCATTTGACTTACTTCCCTCCCGTCTGTCAAGTGGAGTGCCCATCTACTTCAGTCAAGTCCTGCTTCTTGGCAGGTCCCGTCTTATTGCTGCAGAGCAACTTGGTGCAGAGGTGAGCTTTGTAAGCTAACGGTAGTCGTTGGTCGGAAGGCGAAGGCCCTTACTTATATTACTGTCCATCATCATCATCATCGTCGTCATCGTCATCGTCATCGTCATCATCATCATTATCATCATCATCATCATCATCCACTATTGTGAGTAGTCTTTGGCACCAATCCAATGCCGCGGTAGTTCTTTTTGGTGAACTCGACAAGAATGACGAGGGGCGACTGCATGACTATGGTGGTAGGGTTCAATTACTTTTGCAAGCCAGTCAGTACAATCATGTGTTTTTGCCTTAGCCTGAAACCGCATATTGTTTTCCATTGAATGTCCAAACATCATCTTCACTGAGCACAAGAGATTGGCCCCTGCGATGTCCAGAGCGTCCGGCGCCTCTGAAGGCGCCGCCCGAAGGCCCCAACGAACGACTCGCACGGCACCCGACACGGCAACGACTCGGGGAGCAGCTGTCCTGGATTCGCTCCTTCATGTTGTGATCTTTACATATGCTTTTAGAGTGTTATATTCAAATATGCGGGATATGCCGGGGGTGTTCCAAACCCTGGCAAACGATCAGGGACTCACAAAAAATGAACGCTACCCAAGTGCAAAGTTCCCAATGTTTTGGGGAATCCATAGGGGACTCACAAACTGCTGACGTAACAGCCAAACATAACAAACTTGATCCAACCTCATGTGAAGTGTCGGGTCAAGACATTGTATACGTTCTTTAGACTGGCTAGGTAGTGCTAGTTGATATTGGACACTATTTTTTGGATGGTTCATGCTCTTTAGACTGCAGCTAATTAACCGGTTCTTTAGGGAACCATCTCAACACCAATTCCCGAATCAAAGTTTTGGAACTCCGTGCCCCAGTGTAAAGGTTTTGTGGGACATGACATGGCATGATCTAGCAACAAGCGTGACTTGTTTGAAGTTCCTTTGAACTAGCACGGGGATTCACCATGTGCATGTTTGCACCCCAGTAATTTGCATTGCACGAATTGCTGAGCCTCTTATAAGCCTATTTCGAGCCCTTGACTGGGAAACACACACGACAAAGGGTCACCTTCTTCACCGGTTCTCTTTTGCCCCAGAAAGTCACCTGTTTCGCTGGCGGCCAAGCGAGGTAACCGCTTGTCCTGTGCTTTGCCCTTGCGGATGACCTTGGAGTCCGGTCCTTTAAGATCGTTGATCCTCGGGCGGAAGGGTGGCAGAAGGGTGGCGCGGCCACGTGGCAAGGCTTCGAGAAATGAGCTGGAGCCCAATGACTTTCCATGGCAGAATAAGATCTGAATATATGGAAGTTTGTGGTCATTGGGGGTCGGGGCAGTAGGGGAAGTTGGTTCAATCTGAAACTGTTTGCCTGTGAAGTGAGCGCACGACCTTTGACCCAACAGATCCATGTGATATCATGTGATCTCCTTCCATTCGGGGAACCTACCAGGATCCATCTCCCCAGTGCTCTTAAGCGTTTGGGGCGGAAAAGACCACAGGAGAACAATGGTCCGGCTTGGAGTGAATGACTACCTTGGGGCAGGGGGGGAGTGAATGACTATGGACGAAGAACACCACCCCAATTTTCTGCGTCTACCGGGGAAAAGAAGACGCCGCTGTTTGAGGATCCTTTTTGGCAACATGCTGGGCGATGGGTTGGAGGCTCTTCCTTCCTGGATCCATGAGCGCGAACGTCAGCCCTTCCTCTATGTGTACCTGGGTCTGGATTGTTGGATGCGCACAGAAAGACCCCAGAAATCCATCACCCCAATGTATATAGGCATATCACCGCCTGGTAAACCTTTTTTCTTTGCAATTTCAACGCCAGTCTTTGGGTAGCGTTGTTCTTAGATCTGTTCTACGGTGAGAACACCTATCGGCCACCTTCACAGCAGACTGGGTTGGTGGCAGATGATTCTTTCCGCATGTGGCACCACATGTTGGTTGAAAGATGTCAAGTGCCCACTCTCTTTTGATTCGTTGCAGTGCAAACAGATAAATCTTGAAAAAAAACAACACCCTATAGTTCTGATGAAACTGGTTGCGAGGATGAAACACCAGATGATTACATCGAAAAGATAAATCCTGATCTGATGAAACTGGTCCAATGTCATCGATTTGCTGACACATGTTACTTTTCTTGGAGCTGCATTCGCCGGTGCAGCTTTTGCATGGGTTTTGCAGTGGAACTGGGGATAGACTGCTGGCATTCCGCCAATAATAGGCTGTTGACTTTTCCCCGACGAGCATAGACATATGTGTTTTCATTTGTTTTCTCATGTTGTTCTCATTTTTAGTTTGCATGTCTCTATTCGATGTCGTTAGGTCATGTGGTTCTTTCGCAGTGGGTGCCTACGATTGTGTGATATATTCAACTGGATTTAAGCTTGGCAGTAACAGCTTTAGCATATTTTAGCATATGTAGTGTAGTGATATGCGTATAAACATGTATACAATCTTTGTGTGCTTTTTAATGCATACCCAGGTACCTTTGTTGGTTCAGGTGCATTCAACCAGTGTTTTATGGTTATTTGGCTTTCTTGGTAAATGAGCAAATGCAGCCATAAGATACGTGTATTATCACTTCTTTTATCAAAGCACTGTATCAATAGTTTTTGGGTTCTTTGTCGATACTCTTCGTTTGTTGTTTTGTTGGTGTCACACCGCCAAATACAGTATATAATTTGACCAACGATTTTGATCGTACGGGTTTCAAAACTAATCAAATAAACGAAGTGCCAGTTTGGCATGCCAGATACATGTTTGTTGGTAATTCCAATCATATTTAGCACATAAGGTACCTATATATATATATTCCAACTATAACAACATATGTTTGTCGTTGTTGGCACATATATATATATATTACAATGATATAAGATCCATATGAGTTCAATGCTTGTCACTACATGCCCAGTAGAGTTTGGACGGATGGTGTCAGAGTCGCTACCACACAAAGCAAGGTCGAGCCACACTCCAACTCAGCTTTTGCTGCTGATTGCTTTGCTGATGTTATTATTCATCTTTGGAGCCAGACTCACCTTGGGCCACCATTGGCTGCTGGGCGGTTGCAATCGAGAAGAAACCTGACCCTGAGGCATCAGGTGGTGCGAGGAGTTCTGACCCTTCAACGCAATGTTGTCAATTCTCTAGCGAGGATCAACTTAAGGGAACACTGAAAAAACAAGATCAAGCAATGTTGATAACTGATTTCTCAAGGAAAACAAGTCCAAGGGCTTGCAATCAGCCTTCAGATTCATGAACAGACAGGTAGTGCTGCAGTTCTCCCAGGCTTGACGCTCTGATGTTCAGCATCAGAAACTTCTTCGATGATGGACAGGATGATGGACAGGATCCTTATGATTGCTCGATTCAGCTGTTTTCATTGTTCTGTGGAAACCTTTTGAGAATGCATGCCTCCCAAAGCGATAGAAGTGCTTTCCAATAGCACGTTTTAGGAGATTCAATGAGATTGTCTTTGGGAAAGATCATTTTTGGGAATTGAGATCTTGTATCTCTTCCCTTCCAGTCCCTTCTCTTCAGAAATCCAAGGATTTGACTCGCCGATCCCATGTATTTCTATTGAAAATGGCAGGCCCACGGCCGCAAAAATCGACCAGGGATCGAACAGGGGAGAAGGGACAGATAGGACTTTGTGTGGAGGTTTTCAATCAAGGTTCCCCAAAAAACATAGTTACAAGAACAGGGTGTGGCCTGTTGGGTTGTGACGACAGGTGGAATGATGTGTATTTTTTCCCAGCTACCTCACTGCAGCTACCTCTGTGCATGTATCGTGCTGTGTACGCTGTGTTGGGCGAACTGGTCGGCCGGAGACAGGTGCTTTGTCAGCTATCGGTTTTTTTCTCTTTGCCTTGCACCTGAAGAACGCCCAGTACTACGAGTGTGGCGATAGAATCTCGGCTGAACAATGGTGGCATGGCTATAGAATAATGTGGATGGATGTTTGGATTTGACCTCCCCACCCCCCACCCCCCAAGATGGTAGGGATTTGGGATATTTTTGATGTTTTCCAAGTGCGGGTACCCTCCATTTCATGTGTTTTCATCAACTTTTGCTGCTGGAATGGAGAGCGATAGAGCCTAGGGACACACTCTCCGCTTGCTTCCCAAGTTCACGGAGCTCGCTAAGTACCAAACCTCCAAACCTCCCAGCTCAGTGTTAGCCATTTGGCAACCTAGTTCAGAACTTCCACGTGCGGTAGAAGACACAAACTTAGTTCAACCATGTTGGATCACAATCCATGGTTGATATGCTATTCTGTGTGCAAGGTCACACCCCTATTGGCACCAAACATCGACACATCGACACCAAACATCGACACATCCTGGCCTCAACTTATGCACTTTAATACGATGACAGATAGATGTTCCTGGTTCTTCGAAGTCCTGCTTGGTGAGAGCTCACAAAAGGGCCTGTCAAAGGGTCACCTAACAAACAAACAAACCTCCGGACTCCGAAGAGGTCAGAGCTGGTTGATGGTTTAAAGTTTATGAGGTTTATCCCATCTCCAGGAATAAGTAAGAGTCAAGAATGAAGAGTCATTAAGAGAGTATATGTGGAAGAGTCGTACTGTATTAAGATTCCTTTCTACATTGTTGTAAACAACATGTGAATGACTGTTTGCAAGCATACTTCTTTTTGAACTTCAATCAGATGTGAGGACTGTTTTGTGATGTCTCACATATGTTCCTTTCTACCCGAACCTCATCCCACCCGAACCTGGAGGTTGGTTCGTCTTTTCGCGCCTAAGAACGGCTTCGCCAAGGCTTTGCCCGAACGACCTTCGCCTATTTCTTGAGCGAGGACCAAAACACCTGCTTTCTGTTCGGGGCGTTCGGGATAGGGGGCGGTGGTATGTTTCCGCGTTTCAAGATGTTTCCGTTTTGTGGTCGATCCGAGTCTGTTTGTCATCTTTTTCTCTCGGTTTACGGTGGATTTGTGGATCCGCATGGTTCTTTAGAAGACGACTCTCCGAGAGAAACAGGAGATTTGTTCCATGTAAAACGCATTTGATTTCAAGTATATATCTAGAGCTTATTAATGCTTATTATATCTTGTGAGTTCTGTGGAGTTTGGTTTGTCTAGATTCTCAGAAGTTCTCTTCGTCTTCGTTGTTGACTTTGTCAGGACCCACACGCAGAGTTGGCGGTGTCATGTTGCTGGTGTTTCTGGGCGCTTCTTTGTAACATGGGAAGCAGAGTTGTCGTTGTTTTTCTGAAAGACCAGACAAGTGTGTCCCAGACCATGTTCACCACGTTCGTCGGTTCCACCATCCCAGGTATGTATTCCCTTCGCCTCCTCCCGCAAGCAAGCCAGCCCTTCCGCGAGCGCTTCTCCATCAAGCCGCCAAGCGCTTCTCCATCAAGTGGCATTTGGAGGGCCTTGCGAATAGCTCTTTGGCCATTTTTCCTCGGTTTCAGCAGAAGGGAAGGTGGTTTTTTCACGGTTTCAGATCTCCAAAAAAGGCTCTCAGGCTCTCAGCTGGAAATCCAGGGCTAATTCAAGTTAACTTGTCTTTTTCTACTAGCTGTCCCTTAACTAGTTATTCTGGTGTCCATGTGACCCCCAAGAATCATTCTTCAGGACTAAGTTTACAAGAAGCTCGAAGGACCTTTACAAACGCATGGAGGTCACCATGGAGTATTAATCAACCTGAACCTCTACTACCTCACACTAGTGTAAATTTTTAGGGTGTGGGCTTTCCATGCTTCAAAGTAACTGTTGTTGGGGAGATACTGGACTAATCTGATTTTTGATTGGACATGGTTCCGCATGTTCAGCATGGCTCGGTTCAGCATCCCCAAATGGTCCAGCCTTAAGCTGCCTAAGGCAGCTCAAACGATGAGTCACGTTACAGCTCATTCAAGCTATCCCAGCCTGAGAGATGGGAGAGCTGCATCACTAGATCTGATAGATTCTGAGAGCACCTGAGGCCCTTCTCAAGTCCCTTTCTGTTTTGAGGATGTTTGAAGGAAAGGCTCTCGGTCTCGGTTGTGCTGCGGTTTCATCGGACGAAGCGGATGTGACGCGGAAATCGCTCGTTTTGCTCGGATATGACTGACGCGGGTGCTCGGTGGTGACGTGCTGTGATTCCTCTCCATCACGACGGTTCCCATGTAGCAGTATCTGCAGCAATGACCCGAAATCCATCTAAACCCTGTAACCTTAAAACCCTAAACACTAAAACCCTAAGCCGCCTAAACCCATGCTGTGTCGCCATTGAGTCAGATTAGGTGTCGCAAATGAGTCCGATCTAGGTACAGTTTGTTGTCGCCAATGAGACCCTTGCCATGTTTGAAGGTTGCATGTGGAGCGAAAGTAGGAGTCTTGACCCTCGCATGGGACATGGTGACATGGTGACCATATTAGCCGGTGAGCTCAAGAATCGTTTCAATCCAGAGATCATGAGTCAAACATTGGCAGCCAGCACGCTCGGTGTGTTTGTGTGTGTGTGCGAAGGGAATCTGAAGAATGGAAACATGTCTCCTGTCAGTGAGGCGTGTTGCGGTGGACTTTGGGCTTGCATTGTTTGCATCCTCTCCCTGCCGTCGCTGGCATACACCTTCGCCAATACCTTGCCACGCGAGAACACACTGGTGGAGAATCAAGCTTGGCTACAGTTTTCACACAAGCACCTGTCCTTTGCTTCAGGATTTTGTTCGAAGCATCATGTTCGTGTCTCTTGCATCTTACCAGCACGGTGGCATAGTCAGAAGCCGATTTGGGCCATCATAGCGGCTGACACCCCGCACTGATTTAATCCAAAAGGGATTCCCCGCTAAGCACAAAGCTGCAGAATCTTGAAACGAATGGACCCTTTGCTGATTTGCAGGGATCCACACTCAATCACACACACGTGCGTATTTATCCAAAAAGCGCAATTGGAATTATATGAGACTTACACCGGACCATCCTCGCTTTCCCTGTTGACACCGGACCATGATCAGAGTTCTTGCGCAGGCAAGCTGCTTTGGCCATGCTTTCAGTTGACCTGATCATCACTCAGCGCTTGGCCGAACGCTTTAGCCGTTGGGCCAACATGCGCCGATCCTTGTTGCTGATGGCTGCGCGTTTGGCGACCATGTGGCTATATGCCACAGTGCCTTAGTTGACCAGAAGGCTCAGAAGGCATCAATAAAGCAGAGCTGCTTGTATATATATATAATATACGTTGATCAGTATCTGTGTACAACTTTTTGAGAACAACTTGTGATAAGAGAACCAAGGACAGATATATAAGTTTACTTGGTGTTTTTGCCAATCACTGTCCAAGCACAACGACCTGCACTCAGTCGACAGTGGGCTTCCAAAGTCATATTATGAGAGTTGCGGGCGACTCTTGTGTCAGTGGCTCATATCAATAGGCACACGCGTTACATCAAAGTTTTTGCGGATGACGACTACTGTGTCTTTGACATAGCTGGAAGCCCGAGGTGTGTGCCATCGTGCTGAACGAGCAGTGCATGAGAGGATGGACAAAATTTTGGAAAGTGTGCGATAAGGCATCAGATGCCTGGTTTTGCTTAACCCTGGGGCTCCAGTCGTACCTCCTCAGAAGGTATTTGGAACGCCCAAACACCTTCTCAGAAGGTACTTGGAGCCCTAGGGTAAGGACACTATAGGTGATGTGTTCTGACACCGGAAGCTGACAAGGTCACTTCAATGTGAACACTTGTGATGTGCTTAGCACTCAAGGATTCCTACAAGGAGTTCAACATCACTTTGGGTGACTTGGCGGTTTCAGGGTGGCAGGGCGGTTTCATGAGGTGGTTTTTGTTCCCCTTCTCCTGATCCGAAGACCTTGGCATCTAGAATCTGCTGATGGAAGAACTCAATCGTCTTCGAATCTCAGATTCACTTGCAATGATTTAGAATGCAACAGATGGACATCGTCTGGGATTCGTCACAGTTGGAGACAATTCCATATCTCAGACATTTAATGATATCTCAGACCTATGCTCAGACAGATCCATATCCATATCCATATAGACATTTCCATATCCATATCTCAGACATATGTTTGATGGATGATGTTTGTAGATCTCAGTACTCGTTTTTTTGGTGCAGAACTTCTGGAAACACTTGGACCGAGTAGTGAGGATGGACAGTGGCGTAACCCACTGTTGGTGGACCGTATGGTGGACCACGAAAGTTGCTGCAGACCCTGAAGTTGGGTTTATTCCTGGGCGCCTTCAACCAACAACTCAGTGAGCAAGTAAGTGCGCAGAATCAGTCAACCGACCTAGTGATACACGAGATGGTTTGAGCCAGCTCAAATCAGTTTTACGAGAAACATGTGCATATGAACTTGGCTGGATGAACCAAGTGATGCATGAGCTTCGATTTACCGATTGGCCGCATTGGTGTCTGAACAAAAGCGAATGTACAAGCATCCTGGAGTGGATAGAATATGACCAAACCAAAATATGACCAGCTTCCTATATTGGTTGTAGGATTTGCCAATAGTTATTCTATCTATATACTCCAGGATGTACAGTATATATTTGTTCAAGCATGTGCAGCCTGCCAGCCTGCACAACCCAACTGACCCCAACACTTTTCTCGGGGTGGATGTGTTCCACATTCTTTGAGGCTTCACTTCACACTGGCCTCAGAACAAGTCTTGTGTTCCAGGTCAATGACCAAAGAACCAGTCCATTTCTATATAGAGAGGCTTTTTTCCTATGAAATGCTCCGTAAGACCTCCAATACCATTTGCCGGGTGTTTGCATCCCAGTCTTCTTTCGAGACTGTCTAAAGCACCCTGGGTGCCACCTGTCAGAGTCTTGGAAGACGATGTGCATTGTTTTGCGCGGGGAACCATGCAGTTGCACACAATTCCACCTGCAGGGCATAACTATTTGCTGAATCCAACCATCGATTTGTGCGCGGCCAATGGCCGCTGGAGCCATCATGGAGCTTGTGCCTGGGACGAGATCTCGACTGATCCTTTTAGACATTTTTGGAGACAATAGGATAACATTGGGCTGCTAGAGGTTCTTGAAGGTAGACAGTTTATGACAGTTTTTTTCTTGCAATAACATTCATTTAAATACTGTTACTGTATACCTTGGATTGTAAAGCCTCTCCAGGTGGCTGGGCATTTGTTGGACGTCTCCTCATGGTAACCCAGACTTCGGCCGTCGCCTCCTTCCGCCTTCGACCGACGTCTTCCGCGCCCAGGTATGCGCTCGGTGATTGAGACCCTTGCGCCGTTATTTCTTCAGAAGAGCCTGGGTCAGTAATAGTCCATTCGGGGTGAATCTCGGGATGAATCTGGGGGAGAGTCGAAGCTCCAGAATCTTCAGTTTGGGGGCCTTGGGTTCATTGTGGTTAATTGCAGCGCACACACACAGACACTCAACACTCACTCAACTCTCTCTCTCTCTCTCTCCCCCCACATGCATCAATGCGTGTCCACCATCTCCGCCACCGATTGCCGCTTCCGAAGCGGGACAACAGTGCCAGTTGAGGGGCGCTCCCTTCTGGTTCGATTGCATGGTTGGTGTTTTCAAGCTCTGCGTCTTCGCTTGGACGTTTGATTTGATCACCAAGGATCTTGCAACGCGCTTTCATCCAGCCTGTGATGATGTTTGTGGTGTGGCTTGGCGTACCAGAGAGGGTACCAGCTGGTCGATCCGACCTTGAAGGCCGATGTTGGCCTATGTCCAAATCGGAGCCGTTGGCTATTCAATCAGTTGACCAAGGCGGAGTGATGGTTGACCAAGGCGATGTGCCCTTTGTTCTTTTGAAGTTTGTTTTTGACTGCTGTTCACCCCTTGACAGTCTGACTATATATACATTCTAACAAGAGAAATTGGGTATGGTCTGTTTGCGGAACGAACGCACAGTAGGCTCACCGTAGATTCGTAAGAATCCGGTAGGCGAAGATTCTTGTGACCCTTGGCCCACTCGTTCTCAATTTGTCATAAGACGTCAAGATAGTTCGGCAGCCAGCAGCAGCCAGCAGTCAGCAGCTAGCCAGCAAGCAAGCCAGCAGCCTTCAGCCAGCAGCCAACAGCCAGCAGCTGCAGCAGCAGGCAACTGCAGCAGCAGTAGCAGCAGCAGGTTGCAGCAGCAGCCGCCAGGAGTAGTAGGAGCAGCAGCAGCAGCAGCCAGGAGGAGTAGTGGTAGTGGTAGTGGCAGTGGGAGTGGTAGTGGTAGTGGTAGTAGTGGTAGTAGTGGTAGTAGTGGTAGTAGTAGTAGTAATAGTAATAGTAATAGTAATAGTGGTTCATAGTAGTTCAAAAGCAGCTTCAACTTCTGCCTCACCTCAAGATTGACAGGTTTGCTGTTGGATAGTTTGCTTGTAGACAAAAAGGTTCCCCACTTCTACCGTAGGATTGAGCCAACAACGTTCGACCCAAACCTCACCTTCGTAGGCTTCTCCATGTCGTGGGCTCGCACCGAGGAAACGTGTGCAAACCGGAGGCCTTGCCGTAGGCACCCTTCAATGATATAATACCCTACATATGTTTACAAAGCCCTGCTCACATGACCAACATTTGCAGGCATTCTTAAAAGACACGCATAACCCCAAGTTCACAAAAGATTGTTTCGAGGCAGTTCTAATATCAAAATGTCTAAGCTGTTGACATTCGGGAGAACGAGGTGGGCCTTCTCCAAGAATGTGGAAGGCAAGCTCATCTTGAAGTCAACCTACTTTCCGATTTGTACCAGCAGAGGATTGGACCGTGCACGCCAAGGATCTTTGCTTCTCGGATTTCTTGCGGCAAGGGATGTGATGTTTTCTGTCACCCCAGCATCTTGAGCTAGACTAGAGAGGCAGTACAGGGCCTAGTGCCAGTGCAAAAGGATGCCAAAGTCTTGGTGATCATTTAACACTTTCGGTGCATTCCAATTATTGACTCTTTAAACTTGCCAGGCTTAGCTTAGCTGTCTAGCTTTCCTTACACCCAACCATACCCATCCCAGCCCTTTCTTGTCCGCACCAACATCACCAACATCACCACCGCTCCGCACCCATCCAGAAGCTCCGCTCCCTGTGCTCCGGACCTGAGCCACCTCGGTGACCTAGGCTGGTGACCTTGGCGGAGCTGGCTTTGCTGTGGGGAGCCTTTGTGCCTTGTCAGAGTGGCACCGGCGACCTCGGCAACTGACGGCGAGAACGATTTCGCGGCGTCGGAGAAAGAAGGACCCACGGGCTGAGTGTTGGATTAGGTGGGTTCCGGTGGGTTGCGGGTTTCCAAGCGCTTGCTGCTGGCAGAACACCAATCCCCAACACGGTCAAAGTGTTCCCCTCCGACTGACAGCATAGAAGTGGGAAATGTTTCCTTGGAAGACTACTTACTGTATATCCTTTGCCAACAGGGTGTTTCCTACTTTCATATGACTTAGTCAGATGGTAATTTCCAGTCATTTCACCCTAGTCAGTTATCAATTGTCGGCTAAGTTATACATTATATCATATATTCATATATTATCATAGATGTATATATATATATTTATGTATTATACATATATCAGTGGGTTTCTGAGGTGGTGACCGACCTACAGATATTCCCCCCATGGATCTCGGAACGAAGACTGGACGAGCCCACGACTGGATGGATAAGGGATATGGGTCGTGACCCACCATGTTCGCCCGAACCAATGTAGCGAACGACTTCCGCCAGTGCCCGGTCGTGCCCGAAACGGTCTCCTAGTGCCGCGACTTACAGCCATACCTATAGATTTTCATATTAATACCCTAACTTGGGTTCAGGGTTGGCTGTGGCACAGCGGCTTGGTGTGCCACCACCATGGGAGAGCCCCCCCACAAATGTGTTGGTTGTTCAACTACCTCATGGCGTCTCCCGGTGTCAATACAGGTGCCTTTGCTGCTTCCTGCAGTGCTGTTGGCCACTACGACGCTTGGCTTGCTCGAATCCCGCAACATGCTTTTTCTGACTTGTGCCCCTCCAGCGAATGACCATATTATGACATGCACCAGCTATCATATATCTGAGACATTTCGCAAAAGGAAAACTACACCAACCGCGGCAGAGCGTTTCCAGAGCCAGATATTGTTTGTGCCGGCTTTCAAACAAACAAAGTTTGTGCACCGAGAGTGACTGGCGAGTGTGACGAGGACTAACCTCATGGTCTTCCGCCTCGGTCAGAGCCACTTCAAGGCCAAGGTTCCAGAACTGCGGGAGACCGACGACTACCGAGGCTAGCCTGGTGGAAGCGCCCCACTTGGGGTCGGTCAGAAGGAGTTGGGAAGTCCGACCTCATTCCGAACTCGAAGCCTCACATGTTGATAATGAATTGGATACTGTACATGTCATGGAGTTAAAACTGAGGACATCAACAAAATACATTGATGGGTTTTGGGGGTCAACACAGATGCCAAAGGTGTGGCAGATGCACTGTCGGATGCTCTTCAGCTCGTCAGCTCTGGATTTTAGGTCAAACCCGGTCGCCCTTTCTGCTGTGGTGGTTCCACTGCAAACATGATACAGTTTCAATTTCATGACTCCAAAATGGTGCACCACTTTGGTCAGATCTCGCAAGACTGGTCGCGTGCTCGGAGTTTCGATGTTTCTTGAGCATTCCGAAGACCGGAGAAGGTTCTTCCGGGGTTGGGGGGTCAGTTCCTGCCTGCAGGAGGAGGTATTGAATCCAAGAGGGTTTATGGCATAGGGTCCAGGCAGATTCTTGAGCTGCTTCTTTGCCTTGACGCCATAAGGAGATGCATGCATGTCTCCAGGCTATCTGCGCAGCTGCCTGGGCGTTCTTCTCTTCAGCAACCTTGCATTTGCTCAGTCAACCTTGGGGGTTGTTTTATAATGTGGGTGGTGCTTTGAAGCAGATGCCCGCTTTTCTGCCAAACACATCCAAACACTTCATCTCGTGTCATGCTAAGAGGTCCCTTGAAATGGATGTGGCGGTCCGTGGACACAAAAACAATAAGTATGACCTGTTTTACGGACTTGTCAGTGGTAGGGCCTGGAGTCGGGTTGGTAAGGTCTGAGTCGTGCGTGCCCCTCGCCTACCCGGTCACCGGAACATGGAGAGAAGGGACTCCAACGACACGTGGGGGGTCCGACAGCTGTTGTGTTTCGTGATGGTCCCACAACACCCCGGGCTACCAGGGCCGAAGAAGAAGCCCGACCACAAAGGACCAAAAGGAGGAGACACCGAGAGCAACAAGCACCACCAACTGTGTGGTTCTTCCAGTCTTCAAATACTAGTGGTTGCCTGCTTGTTCTAATATCTGGTTTTGCTGGGCTTGACTGCTTGGCATGTCGTTCAGGTCAAAACTTATATGCCTGGACGACTGGGATGCATGGCGCCTCCTTGCTGTTGCTCGCAGTCGCTTGGAAGATAAGAACGACGATCACATCAACTGAGGATGGAGTGTCGTTGATCTCGTGCGCGCCTCTAGTTGCAGTTGTTGTGGGTTTGGAGTTTCCAAGAAGATTTCAAAGGCCAAAAAGAGTAGACCTAAGTTGAAGGGGATGTAAATACTGGACGCCAAGTTCATCCTCACTTTGATATGTTTAAGCTGTAGAATGAGCTGGCGTTTAAACACTGGAAACGGTTGCCGTACGGTTTAAAGCACTGCAACTGCTCGTTCACCATACTGTTTTCAGAAGGAGTCCACAAGTCCGACCAAGGCTGCTGCATACATCTTCGAGCTCGTGTGCGTGGGCATCGCATGCATGGGCTGCAGGTCGGCCAGGTCTGCCTCTCCAGAGCAAATTGAGATGATGGACAGAGGATGGACCATCTTCCGAATGCCTTCATGAGAGCCGAGAGTGAGATCCACCACTGAGACCGATGCTTCACTGGTCTTTTCTCAAGAGCATTCAAGAGCCATCTTGCTGGAGACCGAGACTTGCAGGAGACTGTGGAGAGCCGTGACAACACGTGGGCCAAGAGACAAACTGGTACCTGGAGAGACAACACAGGAGACTGAGACGCTGCTTCGATGTTTACCAGCCAGAACCATCACCGATCCCAAGATCCAGGTCACCGGAGATTCGTTCAGGTCCCAAAGCAACGAGGAGAGGGATGGACTCGGTCGACCTGAGGACCCCTGATCTTCGGAGAGAATGCGAAGGAGAGGTGTTTCCCGGTCGCACGGCCATCGCCACGGTGCACCGCCACGGTGCATCCGAAAAGCGAGCTTGATGTTGACGTGGGCGTGAAGGTGAAGGTGTGCGGAGAACGACTTGGAAAAGAACTTGCCATGGGAAAAAGAATCAGGCTTGCCAAGCTCCCAATCTTTGTACTAGTACTAGTATGTACTCAGTATGTTCTGACCGCGCGGGAGAAATCATGCGTGATAATATGTGATAATGTTGATTAACACAACAGAAACAGCTGTCAGGCTTGTCCTAGCAGGTTGATCCTGCGGAAATCGGGGACCGCATCAAACAAAATTCCGCCTTGTAACCCGATGACATTGGGGTAGCCCATAGCTCATAGATGTTGAAAGAAGTGTGTAGTGCAGTTTGAGACCATGGCTGCTGTGAATCTTTGTGGCCCTGGGTCCCGGGTCAAAAACAGGATACCTTGGTTGACCTACTTGGAAGGTCAAGCTACATGATGCTGGGGCTCCAGATTTGACCCATCCTCTTGTTGTGCAATTGCAGGAACGGGTTGCGGTTGACTGCATTCTTTTCCGCAGCTAAATATGCAGCTCATTTGCCAGAAGTGGCATTCACTGTAGATTTCCAGCAATTCATGATTTGACGAAAATCCCATCGACCACTTCACGATCACCCCCAAAAGGCTTCTCAGAAGAAGGATATATAGTTCAATCAATTCTACGGGTGGAAGTAGGCTGACTTGATGTGTTGTGGCGTTCTCCTTGTAATATTGGCCTGGCTGCGCCGTTCTTTTCGCCATGCATGAGCCCATGCGTAGCCATATTCTCATGGAGCAGAGCTTGAAGAAGGAGCCACGGGCTTCACCATCGCATTTGTAGAAGGGCAGAACTTCACTGAACTTGGGTGTTGATCAATATATATATGTTTATTTATCTATATTAATAATGTTTTTGATTTGGGCGTTGTTTCCATGGGGGGATGTGTTTTCTTTAAAAGCAAATGGTGGCTTTCGTCCTACCTCCGGTCCTGAGGGAAAGGTCGTGGCAGATAGGGTGTCAGAACAATGTATGTGTCAGACAGGGACTTTGGAGATGTTCAGAGACGTCTATCATCAACTGTGAGTAGCGAGACGAAAGCTTGAACTCAAATACACGCTTCCAAGCTAGAAAACAAGGGCATCGCAACTTGTAACAAGGGCATTACTAGTAGCAAGGGCATCGCTACTAGTAGCTTCTTGTTACTAATAGTAATGGAGTTGTTAGTAGCGATGCACTCGTTAGTAGCAAGAAGCAGTCAGTTGTGTCTCCAGAATCGGCGGAAAGGTGAGCGTGCCAAGACCAAAGTGTGCGAACAAAAACAAGTGGAAGCCAGCAATAGGGGTTTTCAATAGACGAGGGTGACTCCCTGGAAGAGGAACACTATTTATATCTATTTATAGATTGACACCGATTTCTTTTGGGTCTCCCGGCTCTAACGCACACATACGCACACCCATACCTTGGTACATGTGGCTTGGTTGTATTTACCCCTGGTGACAGGGAGCATACATGCTCCGCCAGCTGGTATGGCTCTCCAAAACATCAAACCAACAGAGAGCATGTTATGTCCTGACCCTTGGTCGAGTTCTTTACATTTCTGAATACCACACGTTGCAGAAAGTTGCAGACATGTCCGCGCACGGTGCAGAGATGTAGAGCTCTTTGGGTCAGTTCTTGTCTGTCCCTGCCTGGTGTGCTTTTGTTGTTTTTTGAGAGCGAAATACTGCTTGGAAAAAGCATTTGTTGGGTTTAAAACCTGACCTCAGGAGCAAGCAGCCCTGGCGAGAGATCCGACACGAGCAAGCAGTTGGTCAAGGATCCACCCAGGGCAAGGTTTTCTGTTTCAATGATTGGCAAGTTCGTTAATCCTGCCAGTGATGAGGGTTTATGAGTGCCTCGCGATGAGGGTTTAAATGGTTGACTGTAACCCTTTGGAGACTCCACCCGGTCCTTCTGTCAATGACAAGCACCCGACGAGATGCCGAGTATCGCATATACATGCATATACAATAATAGTATATATTGTTCTATATTTAGTTGTGTATACATATATGTATATATACATGGCCGCCATTCGGCTGACATGTGCAGAAACGATCGAAAGGGTCGCAGTTCAACACGTTTCGGAGGCATGGAAGCCATGCTTGTAGCATTTTGTAGCATAGACAAATCTAAGAAAGATCTACAGAGCAGCGAGTGGTAGGCACCATCTTCTGGTGAATATTCAATAGCCAGCCCGGATAGGAGTGAGAAGGGCTTATCCCAAAGCCATGCAGGGGATTCGCTGAACAAATCCTTCTTCATATTGGGATTACCCAGGAGCACCCCTGGTGCATGGCGCCATGAAGCTGAGGATGGGCCCCAGCAAAGAAGAGCAGAGGAGGGAGGAGGACTACCATGTTGGCCGTACGGTCAATTGTCGTGTAGTCACGGGGCATGGACACCTCCAAAATGACAGCTACTGGGCTATACTTAGATCGGCTGGGGTGTTGCTAACTAGTTAATAGAGTTCGCACAATTAACACCACTGTTAGTAACATATCACTATTTACAACTAGTTAGGGCTCACTCAAAAATTGCAAAATTATATAGGTATTTTCAGTTTTGAAACAGCTGTGTAAACAGTTTTTTGTCCGAAAGGCTATTTGCTGCATAATTTGCTGCATAGCCAGTGCCTTTTTCACTTTCCAATGCCTGACACGCTAGATCTGCAAAAAGAGCAACAAAACCTGACAGAAGGCTCCACCAGCTTTTGATGCAACATACTTTGCTGTTTATCACTTCAGAATGCTTGATTGCGCACTCTTGCAGATTGGGAAGTGGCATGGTGACTAATGCGGGTGATGCTATTTTGTTTGATTGTGATGCATGTGGCAACTTGATGCAACTTGCCTTTCCAGTGTGGCAGCATCTAAGCACTTCTGGAGCTGGGTGACTTGCAGGTTGCCTTAGCTGAAATTTTTACAGCATCGGAATACTTGGCACCCAAACATGCACTCAAGTTTGATTGTGCCAGCACCAAGATTAGATTTCTGCCGCGCATTGCTATCACAAGCCCTGTTGTGCTTTCCAGCTGCGATGCCTCATCCCAGCACACCTGAAGAGCTTGCAAGTTCCACTGTGCAATGCTTCAAGCTGATTTTGGAACTATGTATTGTCGACAAGCCCTTTGGGCAAGCAAAAGACCCAAGTGCAAGCATCCCTTGATATCCCTTGCCAGTTACACTATGTTGAAAGACTTGGATTTGGCCACTGACACTGAAATTTGTGGAACACAGCAGAGTTTTCAAAACAAATCGATAGGTGGTGTCAGACTACAGTCCGCATACCTTGCTCCTGTCAACCACCCCCAAAAGGCAAGGCCTGGTCGCTTGGTCCAGCCTCAGAGCCAATACATGACTACACGCGTTGTTTATGCAGCAAAGGGGTGCTGTGCTTCATCACTTTGCAGTGTTTGGATGCTTCTGTTCCCACAACCAATGCTTGCAAGGGGACCCTCAAAAAACACACAACCCGGTAAGATAAATAAGCGTCGAAGCCTAAGGTATAAACATTCACCCTAGTACACCATGTCCGTCGTACCTGGCCTCCGACACCGAAGTTCATTTCCCACCTCCCTGACGGAGCATAAAGTCGTCTTGCCAAGACACTGACCCAGTACAAAAACGCTTGCGCTTCTCCCCGTCCTGTGGGTCTCGTTTGAGTGCCCCATGGCAAGTTGAATAAGTTTGGGTTCGAAATGCAACAGGCCAAACCAAGAAAGCGCACAATTTTCTTGACAGCGCATGGACGCAAGAACGAGGATTCTAAATCCACACGTGCTGCCCATGCATGCTTTGCTGCAAAAAATCATGCCCAGCCAGAGGCAATCCCACAGGCTAATGCACACAGTGTGTAATACAAAAACTATCAAATTTCAATCTTACAAAACAATATTTTCCCACATGAGATGAAAGTCACATATTGAGAACCACCACGCATTGAAGCAGATTTTGGGGGACGCAACTTTATAGTAACAATTCCTACCAACAACAATAGAAAATGACACAGTTAGCATAGTTTGCTAACAAGTGATAACAAGTGCAAAATTGTAACAACTATGAAACACGGTCAGTTTTAACTATTTAGCCTGCTAAACACATACAGTAAATGTTTTGCTGTTTCACATCGGCTAGCAGCACCCCAGCCAATCTAAGTATCTGATCCATGTTGACACAATGACAGTTCACCAGATTCATTCATGTATACTGTATAGACTCAACCTCCACATACTTGCATGTACTTATGTATTATATATATATGGGTCCGACTTCTTTTCGCCTTGTTCCCATCGTCAAAGGTCTCCACTCCACGAGGCACCTCATTACATCCCACGGGTCTCCCGTGCGCCTTCTCCTGCGGTCGCGCCACCCAGAGTGGAGGAGGAACGCTTTCAACAAATCATGGAGCTGGGGAAGCGAAGCTGGGGCCTCGAACCCTTCAGAGCTCGACACGTGTGCAGCAAAAACACCAGATGAACTGATCTGGGGTCAGAACTGATTTTTGGGGGATGTTGTTGGGACATTTGCGGGACATTGGTACTTGGTATGTTTATGTATTTCTATGATGTTCCAATCCTTGAAAAGGAACTGTGTGCAATTGACGCAACTGAATGTTGTGTCCTCAAGATACCGATTTCGTGCAAATGCTACGTGGGGTGGCAATTTGCTCACTTATTAGAGAATATTGTGGTAGTTGGATCTGGTCGGAAAACCAACATCTCTTGGCCATAAATGTGGAGACTGAGAAACTTGTGCCGAATCCAGAGCTCAGCGGGCCAAGGTGAACGCAGTCACAGTGGGTCAGATTTTTTCCCGACCAAGATACTGGTGCGATCCCGCCAAGATTCAATCGAGGCTTACCTGATGAGAGCGCGGCCCCACCACCACTTCGCAACATCCAACCTTACAGGCATCGGCATCAGTGGGGCGCGGCGGCATCAATGGGCGGCATCAATGGGGGGGGCTTCCGGGGATCGGAGGGGTCGTTCGGCTCTCTCCCAATGCAGGGTATGTTTTTGAGGTGAGACAGTCCTGGGATGGACTGAACTAATTAATTACCCACTTTGGCACTTGGA